GCGCGGCTGTGGGTTGCGTCTGGGGCGGGGTGAAGACCGGTACGACTCGGTTGGGGTCGCGGGGGGGGAAGGGCATGCCCATGCGCTGCTTGCATGGATGGGAGGGTGGTGGTGTGGGGTTGAGGAGAGGGGAGGGAGAGAGAAGAGGCTGGGGAGTTGCTTGGGTGTGGCATGGGCGTGGGGTGAATATGTGAACCATTTGGGACGGGTGGACAAATCATTGGAGCAGGGTTGACTATCCAATAAGGTAGGGTGAGCTGTCAAATTGGGCAGGGAGGGCAGTGTGAGCTGTCCAATTGGGCAGGGAGGGCAGTGTGAGCTGTCCAATAGGGCAGGGAGGGCAGTGTGAGCTTTCACAGGATTGCTCAGCCCAATGCACCCCTCCCTGAACGAGGCAAGCATTACGTGAACACGCCCTGTGCACATGTCAAACTGGCAACTATCGCACAGCACACATGAGCTGCCTGTGTGCCCTGCTGCTTGCCCCTTGCCCCCTGCTAACCCGCTCCCCGCTCCCCGCCCCCCGCATCCTGCCCCTGCCCCTGCCTCTGCCCCTGCCCCTGCCCCTGCCCCTGCCCCTGCCCCTTGCCCCTTAAGCTCTGCCCCCGTCCCCTCCCCCATGCCACCTTCCCCCCCGCCCCGCCCCCACCTTGAGTTCGTCATACGCCAGGAAGAACTGCACCGGCCGTCCGCCTGCCCCTCCGAACGCCTCCTGCCACACGTCCAGCAGCTCCAGTATGCGCATTCGTACCTCCTCGTCGCACTGATGAGGGGGAGATGGGGGAGAGTGGGGGGGTCATGGGGGGAAGGAACGGGATGGGCAATGAACGAGCAGAGAGGAGAGCAGGGGGAGGGGGGGGGGGAGGGGGGGGGAATTAAGGCGGGGGAAAGGGGAATGCGGGAAGAACAGAGCAGAGCAGAGCAGGGCAGAGCAGAGCAGGGCAGAGCAGAGCAGAGCAGGACCGCCCCCCTCCCCCAACGCACCTTCTTGCGGGCGATCTTGGCCATTTCTGCTGGCACATCCTTCTCCGCCACTATGCGGTGCACGTACGCCGTGCAGTTCTTGATCAGCGTCTCCAGGAGCTGAGGGATCGGATGGCGCCATGCATGGGTGCACAGCGGTGGACAGGGGCGCACAGAGACAGACAGGGGTGCACAGGGGCGGACAGAGGCAGACGGGGGCGCACAGGGGAGCACAGGGGCACACAGCAGGGGACAACACGTGGGCGCACATGGGCATGTACAGGGGTGGATATGGTATGGGGTACATGGAAAGTCTCTCGGAGGGGCTGATGCAGGTGGCGTGGCAGGAATAGATCAGGCATGCGACCAGAACAGCGGTGTATGTATACATGTTACCACGTGTGGGGCATGGCCCGCATGCAAATAAATGGGCGTGTGTGAGTTTTTGATAAAACGAAAGAGCAGCAGTGAACCAAGCGCAGTTCGAGCTAGCCCCGCGAGCGGTGAACGTACAGTGAGCGCGAGGAGCTGCGTCTTCCTGTTCTTGCTGCCGATGCGCTTCCTCACTGCCTTCACCACATCCTTCACTTGCCTGCCATGCAGGTCACGCAATGACACAAGGAAGGAAGGAGCAAGTATGTTAAGAACTTGAAAGGACTTAGAAACGCTCAGCCAAAGACACACTGATGACACCAAATACGCTTATCCGGAGCGCTCGCATGAGCGCACGGATAAAAGACGTCTTTAAGCTGCTCACCCGGAGCTGGCGTTAAGGAGGTCGCAGAGCTGCATGTTAAGCGTCCAATCAGGGCTCGCCAGCAAGTCGCTCGTCGCCTTATCCACCAGCTGCACCGCCGTCGATTGCGACGACGAAAACATGATGGCTCTCGCTCGCTTGATCGCTCGCTCGCTCGCTTGGTCGGTCGCTCTCGCTCGTTAGATCGCTCGCTCGTCGTTTGCTTCCTCGATCGCGCGGGTTCGCTTGCTTCCTTGCCGCTGCAAGAAGGGAGACAAACGTTTCAAACGCAGGGACGGAAAGGCTGGAAGACGTCAAAAGCGGTCGCTTTGACCAGCGGCGGTACGGGCGCCCACTGCGACGAGGAAGGCGCGGTGCTAGCTCCGTAGCTCGCTACCATGCCACCGCGACTGCCAGATATTCGCTCAGTGGGAAGTGCGTGTTTCTAATTTTTGTAATAGGCGGGGAAAGCGGAAAAGGACAAGTTTCGGGAAGGGAAGGAACCGCAGAACGATGTGTAAGATCGTCCAAAACGGAACGCATTAAACAGAGGTTCCGTTCAGTGGGGTGACGGAATACGAGCGCCTTGAAGTGGTCGGAAAATAAAAGCGTTAATAACGAAATCGGCTTCCATGCTTACTGTAGCGAAGAGGTGAGAAATACCAGAAAGCACAGCGAAATTACGTCATTCCCGTGAAGAGCGCCACATGCCAGCGGCGAGCAATGACCGCTGTAGAAATAGGAACGTGAACGCCGCTAACAGACCTAGACATCTATTGCGGATAGGGGACTGGGAAAAAGCAGAGCAACTGTTTTGCCAGTGAGAGCGCACATTTACATGGCAAATTTACAGCGAGGCTAGTCAGGCCCTAGTTCGTTTCCAGTTCAATAATCACTGTACAGACTGGTGGGTGGCGGTTCAACGCGGTGGAGCAGGCAAACCGCTCGAGAGCTTACAGCACCTTTTTCCACCGCATACACTAAACCGAAATTGAATAAAACTTTGACCTGCCGCTGGTAAGTTATTAGCGAGTCTTTCAGGTGCAATGGATCGAGGTAGCTAGGATTGCACTAAGGTGTGAAACGAGTACAAGATGTGAGCAAAAGCATGAGTGAACATTTATACGCAAATCATGCAAACGGTAACGCGGTGTGTGCGAGCTAGCTAGTGCTACGCTGGCAGCGAGGTTCGGGCTAGTCCCGAAGCGTAGGCCGACTCGGCCGGGCCAGCAGTGCGAGGTTTGGTAAAACAGTGCGCGCGAAGTTGGCGAAGCCCCGTTAGCAGTAACGGGCGAACAACGGGTGCGGCTGTACGCGATGTTGACGGGCTTAGTAAGGAATGGCGAGAAAATTCCTTACACTACCCCCCTCCCTAAGAAGCCCTCTCCGCTACGCGAGTGCGTGTATATCGCAGAAACCCTGGCTCCTCAGGTATACTTGCAGGGCAGGGTGGTTTTCAATGTTGGCCAGGGGCACCCAGCTATCCTCAGTTGGCGTGCGGTCCTTCCAGCAAATGAGGAATTCAATCCTCCGAATGTCTATAGGGTGACGAATCCGGAGGCTCAGAATCTTCTCGAGCTCGATGATCGGCTCCGATGCAGGGCGAGTCATAGACGGCGGGCGGTAACGAGGCAGTTGGCTTGTGGTCGGAATGTAAGGGCGAAGCAGCTGACGCGGAATGATGGGCTGATTTACCAGTCGGCCGGTAACGGTTTATGGGCGGTTACTGGTGTTGGAATAACCGAAAGCTCATTTTAAGCATTCCCAAAGGTATCCCACTAATGCATTAGCTGCTAGCAGAACCAGGCGCTGTACCAGTACCACAATAGCTCATATAGAGTATGCGGAAGACCGAGGGTCACCCGAAGGACAACCGTCGAGGGTAGTCAACAGTCGTGACCCTTGGCCAGCCAGTAACCGCACGACAGTTGTTCGCTGCAATGTGGTAACTATCGAGAATGACAATAGTCGAGGTTACTGTAGTTATGCAATACGGTTAAATAAGGGAATGTACCCCTCAGAGTACATGGCTAGCTAGGACCTTTGTTATTTAATCCCTTGTACTTCCACCTTTTAATCATCTTGTTCTCTTTGGATTATTATCCTGCAAGGTTTCTACAGAGACTTAATTGTCTCCTCCTGAATTTAGCAGACTTATCATATTCACTTGAGGGCGTATTCCTAGCTTCGGGTCATCCGGTGTTTGTGTCATCCGAAAATTGAGGTAGCCAATTGAAAAACCCGCGGTTCGGAATATAAAATTTTCTATTGGATACCGCAAATTTCTGATGACATGAAGCCGGGATGACCCGAAGCCACGAATACGCCCTGAATAAAACTTTGACCTGCCGCTGGTAAGTTATTAGCGAGTGTTACGGGTGCAATGGATCGAGGTAGCGAGGATTGCACTAAGGTGTCAAACGAGTACAAAATGTGAGCGAAGGCATGAGCGAACATTGTCAAACTATGCATGCTGCATATTGTGTAGGCTGTAGTGGGGTAGCCCATATGGGGTACAACACAATTAGGGTTTACTACTTGTACTCCTGCATGCTGCTAGTTCATCCATTCCTGCCTAGTAATTCTATCATGGTATTCAGAGCAGATCTATTTTTTTTAGGGCCCACCACCTACTGCCTGCGGTTACCGTGCTACCCCACGCCCTGCCTGAGCCTGCCTTACGTGCCTGTCGCGCTGTCCTGCAGCCCTGCGCGCCGCCCGTCGCACTGCCCTGCAGCTCCGCGCGCGCCCTGCCCTTGCCCGTCGCGCTGCCCTGTAGCCCCGCGCGCCGCCCGTCCTGCTGACCCGCAGCCCCGCGAGCGCCTTGCCCGCCCGTCGCGCTACCCTGCGGCTCCGCGCGCCGCCCGTCCCGCTGACCCGCATCCCCTCGCGTGCCCTGCCAGCCCGTCGCGCGGCCCCGCAGCTTCGCGCGCCACCCGTCCCGCCGCCAGAGCGCCGCTCTGCCCTGCAGTCGACGCGGCCCTACCCTGCCGCCGACGCGGCCCCGCCCTGCCGCCGACACGGCCCCGCCCTGCCGCTGTAGCGCCCCCGCCCTGCTTCTGTCGCGGCCCCGACCTGCCGCCGCCGCGGCCCCGCCCTGCCACCGTCGCGGCGCCGCCCTGCCGCCGACGCCGCCCCACCCTACCGCTGTCGCGACCCCGACCTCCCGCCGACGCGGCCTCGCCTGGCCTCGCCCTGCCGCTGACGCAGCACCGCCCTGCAGCTGACGCGGCCCTTCTCTGCAGCCGCTTTTGCGGCCCCACCTGCCTGCCTGCCGGCCTGCCTGCCTGCTTGCCTGCCGGCCTGCCTGCCTGCCTGCCTGCCTGCCGGCCTGCCTGCCTGCCTGCCTGCCTGCCTGTCTGCCTGCCTGCCGGCCTGCCTGCCTGCCTGCCTGCCTGCCTGCCGGCCTGCCTGCCTGCCTGCCGGCCTGCCTGCCTGCCTGCCTGCCTGCCTGCCTGCCTGCCTGCCGGCCTGCCTGCCTGCCTGCCTGCCTGCCTGCCGGCCTGCCTGCCTGCGCGACTGCCTGCCGCGCCTACCCTGCCCGCGCTGCTACTGCTGCTCCTCTTACTAGTCCTGCTGCTGGCGGTGGCCCAATGCAGCTCCAGCGACTTTCGCGCGAGTCTCTCACACCCCAGCAGCTTCGTGAGTGGTACACTAGTTGGGGTTGTGGCGGTAGCCGTCGTGGCTGTCCCCATGGAGCTGGTCAGTTGGGAGCACCTGGGTGTGGCCAGCTGCAGCTGCAGCGGCGCCTTCGCGAGCCACTTACACCCCAGCAGCTTCATGAGTGGTACGCTCAGAGTAGAGGGTCTCGGAGTACCGCTCGCTGCCAGTACGTCATTCGCACAGGTGATCGGACTGGTCAGCCTTGCGGGACGCTTGGTCACACAGAGTCCCGCTGTTTCGCCCGTCTGAGCGACGCCTGGCGTACCGAGTTTGGCGACGCGGCTGAGCTCCCCACCTGGCTGGAGCTGCTTAGGCAGAGGGTAGATATCTTTGCTCTTGACTATGATGCTATTCTCACTGCCATGTATGCGTTGCCTACTAGTGCTGACGGTGCCTGTTACCTGTGCGTGCCGCCTGACCCCGGTATAGAGCCTGCTGCTCTAGGTGCTGGTGAGGCTGCTGCTCTAGGTGCTCGTGCGTCTCCTCCTCCAGGTGCTGGTGAGTCTGCTCTCTCTGGTACTACGCCTGCTGAGGCCTTGTACACCTTCACGCTTGACTCAGGTGCTTCCCGCTCCTTCTTTCGCGACAGCACCACCCTCACGCCGCTCAGTCGGCCGGTTGCAGTCTCCCTGGCAGACCCCTCTGGGGGTCCAGTCCTTGCGCACTCCTCCACGGTCCTGCCGTGTCCGGCGGTCCCGTCTGGCTCCCTGTCAGGTCTTCACCTCCCCTCGTTCTCTACGAACTTGGTGAGTGGTGCTGACCTCCAGGACCAGTGGGTTGACCATATCACTCCTGGAGGTCAGCGCGTGACCCACTGTACGTGCTCCCGGACGGGCCGGCACCTGGCCACGTTTACCCGTGCGCCTGGCTCGAGTCTGTACACACTGACTACTGTGTCCCCTCAGGTCGCTGCGTCTTCATCTGCGTCTGCGTCCGGTCAGCTAGCGGCCAGACCCTCCTTTGGCACCACCGTCTTGGTCACCCCTCGGTGCAGCGCCTTCGTAGCATGCACCGCCGGGTCCTTGTCTCTGGTCTTCCCAGGGTTCTCCCTCCCCTCCCAGACTCGCCTGCTCCTCCCTGTCTTCCCTGTGTCGAGGGGCGGCAGCGCGCCGCTCCTCACTCCTCCTCGTTCCCTCCCACAGAGGCTCCCCTGCAGACTCTCCACCTGGACGTGTGGGGCCCAGCCCGCGTCCGTGGACAGGGCCACGAGCGGTACTTCCTGCTGGTCGTCGACGACTACACGCGTTACACCACAGTCTTCCCCTTGCAGCGCAAGGGGGAGGTCCCTGATGTTTTGATCCCTTGGATCCGCGCTGCCCGTCTCCAGCTCCATGAGCGGTTTGGGACGGAGTTTCCAGTCCTTCGTCTGTATTCTGACAGGGGTGGTGAGTTC